GGGAAGGCAGCTAGTCAGCACCACCCACCGCCAACTCTTGGGCTACTCTTTTACCAACGAATAGTGGGATTGACCGTCACATTATAACGCCCCCACGGCTAAAAGGGCGAGCATGTTTGGTGGGAAGGGGATTCGAACCTGCGATCCTCATATTGCGAGTCGAGCGCCCTAACCAACTGGCCATGCCGGGCCCCTGGTGGTTACGAGTTTGGTGGATTCCACCCAGCCCGTAATGGAAGGGTTAACGCTTGCAAAGTATAAACTAAATAATAGTTTGCATGAAACTTAAAATGAACAGTCGTGTATACTTAACAGTGTTTAATTATTTGAAATACTGTAAACAAAGAACTTTTACTATAACGATTTCTCGTCTTTCTTTACCAAAAACTAATTATTGTTAACATTTGGTAACCTTTGACAAAGTTCTTTGTTTTTTTTTTTGCACACTGGCCTGGAAAAGTCATTTACTTACTTAGATGAAACTTCGTTGAAATAGTGAAATTTGGATTCACTCCATAAACAAGTATATAGCGATTACGTACAATAAGCTTTAGATTTGTTCAGCCAATACTGTGAAATAGTCATTGTTAATACTCAGACATTTTAAAGGTGGTTTTAAACGATCTATTTTTGGCCGCCATTTTGTTTCATCACGATCCCTACTGTTAACTACTACCGTACTTAATGATAACTGTATACGTTTAGTATTATATAACACAGCCAATTAAGTCCAATTAAACATCATATCTTATTGTTAGTTTTTATATTAATTACGTTATACAGGTTTACACACACTCATAACATACCCTAGATCTTGGTAACTTCTCACAGTTGAAATGGCTGAAGTCGATCATTTTCATACTCTCAGCTAAAAACTTCATCAAACCTGTAAAAGAAAACAGGGTCAACATAAACAACTATATATTTATAGTCTCGATGGACTCTAGACTGAATGTTACAACATTCCATATTTTTTGTCATATGTTGTGCAGTAATCTCGATGATAACATCCAATTACACATGTGTTACGTCATTGTAATTGAGATCAAAAATCGTGGTACTGAACTTAGAAACTGATATCATTCTTAAAGCTGATAACATTGTATAAAAATAAGATATCTACTGACACATTTGTTCAGTACAGTTAGTGTATAGAAATGTAATATTTTATATGCTTGTATCGATAAAACACACTGTAGCGGTGGACAAAAATATTAACCTTTGATCTTCAAACTACTTAATCAGTTTCATTGTTGAGTATTTCGATGTACAAGATTATGGAGTTGGGTTGGGAAGTTCTCCCTCACCCACCATATTCTCCAGATATGGCACCATCAGATTACCATCTTTTTCGTTCGCTGCAACACCATCTTAATGGGAAAACGTAAATGTTGAAGGTGTTAAAGAGGACATCGCCATGTTTTTTGCTTCAAAGCCAAGTGAATTCTTTAATCAGCGCATTAACAACCTCATTGTAAGATGGAAAAGCATGATCGATAAAAATGTAGAATATTGGATTTAATAAATGTTTTGATAGATAAGTTGTTCGGGTTTTTTATCTAAAAAAACGACATTAATTTCTTGACAACCTAATACTTGTTTCCATTTAATTACCTATATTTTTGTGTCTGCGCCAGCAATATCAAGTGTGGAGCATCGTTGGGACCCAGACGAAAGAGTTCTGTGAAAGAATTAGAGTGATAACGTTCTCATTTTTTTTAATTGCGTCAAACGTGCCATATGTGGACGTGAAATGACGTGGAGCAGAACACCTTTCCGATTGACGAGTGAAGGGTGTTTCTGATGAAGGGCTTGATTTAAACGTTCCAGTTGCTGACTATAGATCTATGCATTGACAGTTCGCTGTGGATTGAGGAGTTCGAAATGAATTTCTCCTCTGATGTCCCAACAAATGAAAAGCATCACTTTAATATTCGCATAGAAAATTCATTTTTCACCACCGGTGACAATTCTGTCAGAAAATGG